TGCTTTTCCTAGGACCCAGTCCCGGGATCCTTCAAAGTCCCAACCGTGGGAGGTTTACTTGTGCTGCACATTCTGGCCCGAATAACCCAAGCCCTGAGAAGGAGAGTGTTAGTTGTACCAGAAACTAATGGAATAGTTTCTGGCACTAAACCAGACCCTCCTGTGCCAAGAGGTTCCAGGAAAACTAGCACATCCCAGGATCGGGAGGAAGTAAGGCAGCAACTGGGGACTTTTTCCTAATAAATCTAATAAACGCTTGGAAAAATAATCCACCAATGGTCAAATATAGACAGAAATGAAAAACAACTTTGCAGGTTTTTGGAGGCATTTTTTTTCCTGAAAAGAGAGCAAAATGGAAAATATTCCATGCATTGGTTCTCAAAATAAATGAGAATGAGAAATATATAAAAAGTTAAAAATGGAAATTCAACTACTGGCTATTTACCCAAAGAAAACAAAAACACTAATTGAAAAGATATATGTCCTGCTATGTTTATTGCAGCATTATTTACAATAGCCAAGATATGGAAGCAGTCCAGTGTCCATCAATAGGTGGATAGATAAAGAAGATGTGGTGAGTATATACAGTGAAATATTACTCAGCCATAAAAAATGGCATCTTGCCATTTGTGACGACATAGCTGGACCTAGGGGGTATTATGCTAAGTGAAATAAGTCAGACAACAACAAATACCACACAGTTTCATTTATATGTGGAATCCAAAAAACAGAACAAAGCAGAAAGACCCATAACTACAGAGAACAAACTGATGGTTTCCAGAAGGAGGGAGAGCTAGGCAAAATGGGTGAAGGGGAGTGGGAGATACAGACTTCCAGTCATGGAATGAATAAGTCACAGGGATGAAAGGTACAGCAGGGGGAATATAGTCCATGGTATTGTAATAGCGTTGCATGGTGACAGATGGTAGCTACCCTTGTGCTGAATACAACATAATATACAGAATTGTTGAAACTAATGTAATACTGTGTCAACTATACTTCAGTTTTTTTTTTTTAAGGAAAACTTTCACAGTGAAATAAAGGAATAAGAAAGAGAAAAAAAGAAGTATATAAACTTCACTTCTGTATTATGGTCAGGTAATTGTGGATGAGGGAGACAGGAAAAAGATGAAATGGAGGGGGAAAGGGAAAAGAAGAAGCAGGAAAAGGATGGGAGATGAGGGCAAGGACACGAAGAAGGTTAGAGACAGAAGCACAGTGATGATCCCAGAGGCAGAGACACCAAACACACGAAAGCAAAGCACAGTGAGCAAACATCAAACTGCGAGACGGCTCAAAAGACTAGGTTATGTGCAGGTAAATCACTGGTGCTGTACCTTTCTATTTATAGGAGCATCTTGGAAACATGGAAAATCAGAGCTGCAAGGAGTTGAACTCATCTTGTCACGTTCCTTCTACATTGGGTTGAATAGTGTCCCCCCCCCCACCACCACCACCCCCTGCCAAAATTCATGTCTACCTGGAGCCTCAGAACGTGAGTTTCTTTGGAAATAGGGTCTCTGCAGATGTAAGTAGTAAAGGTGGGGTTATCCTAGATTAGGGTGGGCTCTAACTCCAATGACTGCTTTCCTTAGAGAAGTCCATGTGAAGACACAGACACAGATACGTATGGAGAAATGCCTTGTATGACAGAGGCCAGGATTAGTGATGTAGCTGCAAGCCAAGGGATGCTGTGGCTTACCAACAACGACCAAAAGCTAGAAGAGGCAAGGAAGGGGTCTTCCCTAGAGCCTTTGAAGGGATTACGGCCCTGTGGACAACTTGATTGGGGACTTCTGGCCTCTAGAGCAGTGGGAGAATAAAGTTCTGTTGTTCTAAGTCAGAGTTGGTGATAATTTGCCATGATAGCCCTAGAAAATGAATGCAACTTCTTGTAGAAGAACTCTAAGATGTGTGACAGCCCAAGGTCACAGAATCAACTGGTAGCTAATCCCCTGTTGCAACTTGGCTTTTCCTTCATGCTCCGCAAACATGGAAATCATTTTTCTCTTCTCCTCTCCAAGTTCATGTTGAAACTTTTATCAGTGCATGTTGGCTTTTATCAGTTTGAATTGTGAAATCCGTATGAAGGTTTTAGAAATACTTTGGCCTATGAAAGTTTTAAATTAATTTACCACCTATTCCTTTGCTGTACCAAAAATAACCTAATAGCTCATTACTTTTGGGAGATGAGGGCTGTCTCTTTTTAACACTGAGATCACCGTTTATTTATTTTGAGCCATTTTCTGAAGGCAAGCCAAGTTCCTCTAGGGATATTGGACTTAAAACAATCCACAAAGTAGACTCTTTGAGAAGAAAATGGGCTAACCACTCTTTTGGAGTTCTTAACAGACATCAAATCACATGGAGCACACTTGAGTTGTTAATTATTCTGTAGTTCTTAACCTTGTTTTGGACCATGTCTCTGGGAAACTGATAAAAACCATGACCGTCTTCCAGAAAATGGCATGTTCTCACAACTTCCTGCCCCTACTCTCACGGTGTTCACAGACACTGTCCCTTACCACCATCCCCACTCTGTGGACCCCCGCTGTGGAGGCTGTCCTCAAGTGGCTGGGCCTCCATTTCCCCCCAGTTCTCCTTTTCACTGGAGCCATGTGGTGGTGAGCAAAGGCAGAACCTGATCCTGCAGCAGAGAATTTCTCTCCAACATATTAATAACACACACGGGGAGTCTTAAAAACAACCGTGCTCAGGAACTGAGTGCTGGCTGAGCAACTTTCAGGAAGCTTCTCCTGAAGACTCTCAAAGATTGAGTCAGGCCAGTGGGGTTCCTGGCAGAAATTTCAAGGGACAATGGTGGCTTTTTGAAGAGGACTAATTGATCCCTGGGCTGGAAAGGACCCAGGGCTGACAGGCTGTTTTCCTGCTATGTTGAAGGCACTGTCCTCTCCTTTGCCTCAAGGTCTTAGCACACACACTCTGCCCCTTGGTCAGCCATCCTCACCCCACCTTTTCCACCTGGTATTCTCCCTACCCTCAGGTCTTTGGTTAGACACAACTTCCCCTTGGACACTTTCTCTGATTCCCTAATGTCAGTGTTCGAGGAGCCCTTTCCCTGTGCCCCCATTGGCCTTGACTTTCTCCACTGCAGTCCTTGTCCTGCCTGCTATAATGGGCACTCTACTCATCTATAGCTCTACTGGATTGTGTGTTCCAGGAGGAGTAGAGGCCAAGCGATTCTTATAAGCTGGCCTATTCCCAACAGTGTCAGGAAAATAGAGCGTGATGGAATCAAAATAAATAAATAACCGGTTGGTTCAACGCAGGCATTATTGGCATTTTGGACATGATAATTCTTTGTTATGGTGGACTGTCCTGTGCATTGTAGGACATTTAGCAGCGTCCCTGGCTTCTACCCATCAGATCCCAGTAGCGCCCCATCCAGTGGTGACAACTAAAAATGTCTCCAGACACTGTCCAGTGACTCTGGGAGGCAAAATCACCCTGATAGAAAACCACCGCTTTAATGGATGAATGCTGACCTTGGAGTCACTTTGCCAATCTTGCATCTATGTCAGGGAGTGAAAATTCAGGTAATCAATTAATGCTGATGGAGTGGGTGGCTCCTGAAATGGGTGGCTGACCTCTTGTGGATCTTCAAAAGAGCCCCACCCCCCCACCAAAATCTATTACATGTTTGCAAAAGAGTGGTTAAGTCCTTTAATGACCTATGACGATGTAAGGACACGAGAGGGAGCTCTAACAAGTTCCAACACAGAGGAAAACCAGCCACTCCCAGAAAGGGTGACTGAAGCTCTTCCATAGTGATGAGCTCTGGAGGTTTAGACGCTTGGTTATGCCCTAGAGTTAGGACAGCCGAACCAGAGTCTTGGGTTTTTATTTTCTGAATCTACTACGAAAGATCCCTGTGTGTGTGGCTCCCCCCTCCCCCGCACCCGCCCCAGAAATATAGACAAGAGGGGGAAAACAAAGATCCATTTGTGTTCCATAAATAAGTCATAAGCATCAGGAACAGGGTCTTCCCAGCTTCCAGGGCAATGGCCCTTCTCTGGTGACAGCAGGGACTGAGGAGTTGACACGGAGGCTCTGGGCTCTCCCCAGATCATCAACACATCAACCTTCAGGCTTGAAGTTCAATACAGACCATCACATTCTGGGGCTCCACCCTGAGTCCATGCCTGGCTCTGGAACCCGGGGAAATTATATAACATTTTCGTGCTACAACTTTGTGTGTGTACGCACACGGATTCATACCTTTTATCATATTTTCAAAGGAGTCTAAACCCTCCAGATACTAAGAACCCCTGGTCCAAGCTCCTCATTGTAGAAGTGAAGAACCTGAAGCTCAGAGGTTAAGAGGCTCCTTCAAGTTCCTACAGCTGCAATGTGGCAGAACTAGGACATACACTCCTATCTCCCTCTGCCTTCAGGCCCAGTGGGGCACTGTTCTGATGGGGACCTGGGCTGTAGGGCAGCGAGGTCTGGTCTGAGGCCACTGAGGATGGCTTAGAGGGATAGGAGGGGGTGTTTCGCCAGTAGGGTTACCAGATAAAATGAGATGCCTAGTTACATTTGACTCTCAGATAAATGAATACTTTTACAGTGTAAGTATAAGCCGAATGTTACATAGGACATACTTACACCCGAAGCAGATTCATTGTTTATCTGAAATTCAAATTTAACTGAGCACCCTGGGTGTTTCGGTGTTTTTTGTTGGTGTTATTTGCTCAACCTGGCAACCCTATCTGCCAGGGACAGCCTGGCAGTCTTTGGCTGGGAAGCAAACGCTGAATCGCGGCCAATGGATATTAATGACTCAGTGTTTGACGCTCAGACTACCTCTGGCCCTGCCTTCAATAAAGGCCACGGAGGCCCTTGGCCTGTGTGAGACAACCTGATAAGACCTGCTTGGTTCTTTGTGACTTCAGAAGGCCCGAGGCGTCCTCAAGCACTACAGATATTCTATGTGTATGTGTCCTCTTAGAAGATGACATTTCACAGGTCTGTGAAGAGTAAAGATCAAATTTATTTAATGCAATACCCTGCAGCTGTGTCACTGAGGTGGACGGGACGTGGGGGGAAAATGATCTCAGCTAGGTGTGCTCACTAGTGAAATTCCCCCGCAAAATGGCTGCGGCTACTCGTCCACCCACTCAAGACACCCTCAGAAATATCGTAAGACCTTAGGGGACCATTTCTTTAGCAAGGAATAAATTAAAAAAAAATTAGTAAGAAAAATACGCATTTCATTTTTCTATTAAAAACAATATTTGCTGTAGGCAAACATCTTCCCATCTTGCAGCCTGCAGCATGGTAAAGGAAAAGAAAGAAAGGGTATAGAAAAACAGCATAAGAACATCTGTGCTCTGTCCGACTTCATTTTCTCTTCTGTGCATTGCCCGGAATGAACCTGATCTTCAGGTTGGCATCTCAAAGGGGTCGCTCCCAAGCCGCTTTGTTGTGACATTTGTGGCAGGCGAGGTCGTGGAGGGAACAGGGGGCACCGTCTGGTCAGTGCTGTTCACTTCCGAGGAACAAGGACCACCCAGAACCACAGGCCTTTGAAGGACCAAAGGCAAAGAGAGAGAGAGAGAGAGAGAGAGAGAGAGAGAGAGAGAAATAGCCCCTCAGCCCAGCCATTCGCTAGAAGCGATTGGCTACAAAACAAAAAAAATGGTTTCTGTGTGTGAAGATACTTGGACAAGTTCTTGATCTCCGTGCAAGACAAAAATATTCAAGTTTCAAAATATCCCAATGGCCGTTTAACCCTGAACCTCCTTCTGCGGCTCCCCACTCCTGAGGATGCCCCAGCTTGGTGAGAGGGGGGCGCTGTGGGGGGACTTAACCAGCCCCTCCATATCTCTTTATACCCCCCATAAATGTAGGCAGATGGATTTCGGAACTGGTGACTTGGCCTGAGGAATTGCTCTGTTCAGTGGGAGCAGGGCAGTTTCATAAATAAATGCACAGAGCTCTTGGAATACAGGAATGATCTCCTCTTCTTGGAACATGGGTGTCCTTCCAAGGAGGAACATCGGTCCTCGCAGCCCTAAGTTCCATCAAGGGAGCCTTCCGTTCTCTGCAGAGACAAGAGAAGACAAGCTATGGTCACACCCTTCAGGGCTCAAGACTGGCCTGGAGGAGGGGTAAGCAATATTGCAGCAAGCGCTTCACAAAGGCTCTCTGACAGCGCCGTCTTCCGCTGGTACCTCCACCCTGTGGGGTCAGCTCCTGCCCACATTCACTTCTCCCTTCTCTCCACACCAGCTCCGCCCAGGGCTGTGGCCTCCACTGCCTGTAGACGCGCGCTGCACGTCAGGCTATCAGCCAACTTTGTCAAGCACCCACTGTACACCCAGCATTCTGCCCTGTGGGTGCCACACTTACCTACAGAGCAAGACTAGTAGAGTTAAGAGAGACCTGGCTTCTTGCTCCAGCTCTGCTTCTAACACAAGCTGAGGCTTCTCTAGGTCTGTTTTCTTTTCTTTTTTTTTTTT